CATGTGATGAAGCCCAAGAAGACCCTGAAGACATAAGTAAATTATGTAAAGAAATGACTCAAATGCCTATGGCTTCCACTTCTGCTACACTAACTTCTCTCTCCCAGACTGCACCTATGGCCTCATAGGGAGTTCCCTGCAATCAACTGGCAGAAGGAGGGAAGACTTGGGCATGGTTTGCAGGCAGTTCTGCACAACATGCAGGCACTACTCCAAAGTGGACGGCTACAGTACAGCAGGCCCTCTTTGGAACATTCCCAGAGGAAAGCGGTGAAAGGAAATTTTTCCAGTCGCAGAAATCTGAGCAGTGCACCTGAGTGTTCATTGCTTGGAAGGAGAAACGGCCAAGTAGTTGGTTATATACAGATTCATGAGCTGTGACCTATGGTTTGGCTAGATGGCCAGGAACCTAAAAGGAAAGTGATTGGAAAACTGTCTTCCCACATAAGCTACCACAATCCCATAAGGAATCATGCTCGTTTTTGTACCAATGAATCCCCCAACAACCAAAGTAATACCTGGTACACGTTGGGTACTCAAAGAAATACACGTGAACATCATAAATCATTAATGAACAAACCCACTGTATTCTGACTTCTCTCCAAATCATGAACATGAAGCTGTGCCATGTTTCCAAATCCAGTAGACACATTTCTACATACATGTCATTCCATTTCCCAATTAGTCTGCAATTCACTCTTTGAAACTCTCCTCTTTTGGCTTTCATGAGACCACCTTTTCCTGACTGTTTCCTGGTTCCACTGTGCTTTCTTTCATTAGACACTCATTACAGGCTCCTCACTGCCCCCCAAATGATTACATTTTTAGTGGCCCAGAGGTGGATCCTGGGCCCTCACTCTCCTTAGGCAACCCAGGAAATCAATACCAGACTTGACATGTTACTTCAGGATAGAAACTGGAATGAACAAACCAGTTAGAGAGTGGGGAAGATTTCTGACTCTTCCATTTCAAAGTGAATTTCTGGTTAGACACTTGAGACCTCAGAATAGATGAAATGATTTCCTTCTGTGCAAGGTGGAATACTGGGAAACCCCGTATCAAATTCATAGCCTTGCCTTAGGGGCTTTGTGATATTCTCAAGCTCTCTTTGCACGCGCTCCTCGCCTGAATATTGTTCTTTTCCTCTGCCCAGACTTGCCACCTGCTCTCCCTCTGATCTGTCACTTGCCCACTCCCAGAGCCTTTGTTCTTACACTACACCCTCTTTGTACCTTCTATCTGCAACATCTACTATGTACCTTCTGCAGGCACACACGGGCGGTATACAGCAACACAGTAATCATGTGTGAGAAATAGAAGAGCAATTAATATCTGTACATTTTATCATATGGCCACAAATCACCTCCCTGAATGGACTCAACTCACGTTTTCTCTGTCATTCATTCACCACTTCTGCCTGCTTCCCTCCAATAGCCACAGTGCCCTTTATTCAAACATTAGCCAAAGAAACCAGACTTGCCTCAGTGATGTACCATGACAGCAATGAAAAGGGAAGACCAACAGAAAACAAATGAGCTGTAGCCCCTCCATTTCTCACACCCTCTTTCTGGCCAATTTAAACACTACTGAATCTATAAATAAGGACAATAGCAAAGACTTGGAACCAACCCAAATGCCTATCAATGATAGACTGGACAGGGAAAATCTGGCACATATACACCATGGAATACTATGCAGCCATAAAAAATGACGAGTTCATGTCCTTTGTACGGACACGGATGAACACAAGAACAAAAAATCAAACACTGCATGTTCTCACTCATAGGCGGTTGTTGAACAATAAGAACACATGGACACAGGGAGGCAGGGAGGGGAGCATCACACACTGGGGTCTGTGGGGGGGAACTAGGAGAGGGACAGTGGGGGGTGAGGAGTTGGGGAGGGATAACATGGGGAGAAATGCCAGGTATAGGTGATGAGGAGGAAGGCAGCAAACCACATTGCCATGTGTGTACCTATGCAACAATCTTGCATGTTCTTCACATGTAACCCAAAACCTAAAATGCAATGAAATATATATTAAAAATAAAAAATAAAATAAGTCAGGACCATGTATTGAAAAGGATATTAACTGAAAACACAGGAAAAAGATTAAAGGCCAACCCTGCAGACAAAAATATTCAAATAGATGTTTGCAGGCAGAGAATTCCACAAGTTTAAGACTCCCAAACATTTTTTCTTGGTAACAGATGTATTTTCCCTATCCCTGATACGATCTCTCTTTAAGTTTAGTTAACAAGTGAAGGCGGGAGGGAAAAAGAAGACTCTTGAGGAATTAGTCTAGTTATTCCTTGCCTAGGTACTCGCCTGAGCAGGTGTATCTCTCATAATTAGGAAGCTGATCGCTTGGTGAAATATGCCTCCACCAGTCTAATCAGCTAACGCCCCTAGGATTTACAAACTAGAAAATAATGGGTAGTAATTTTTAAATGACTTAAATTATTATTTAATTTACTGAACCATTACTGTTTATGTTTGTTGCAACTTACTCTGAACCACCTCAGCAGAAAGAAATGTAAATTATTACTAAGTTCTGGATGTGCCTAGCTCAGCTCCTGAAAACAAGGATGTGTTTTCTGCATCTAGCTCCGGGAGCTGATTATGCCTTTCTTCCTACTTTAACACTTAGTACAGGGAAGGACTATTTTATGGCCTATTTTTCCAGGTGGATAATGAAGGGCCAAGCTGCACCAGGTTCCTAAGAGAAAGCCAAGAAAATAAGTCACACAAGCCCTCAGGAAGAGAGGAAAAGAATGGGCTGGGCGTGGTGGCTCACTCTTATAATCCCAGCACTTTGGGAGGCTAAGGCCGGTGGATTACCTGAGGTCAGGAGTTCAAGACTAGCCTGACCAACATGGTGAAACTCCATCTCTACTAAAAATACAAAATTAGCCAGGTAAAGTGGCGCACGCCTGTAATACCAGCTACCTGGGAGGCTGAGACAGGAAAATTGCTTGAACTGGGGAGGCGGAGGTTGCAGTGAGCTGAGATCATACCATTGCACTCCAGCCTGGGCAACAAGAGTGAAACTCTGTCTCAAAAAAAAAAAAAAGAATGAGTGGCCGTAGACCACAGATATAAGCAAAGTCAAGAAGGCTGGAAACTGAATGAGGGAGTGGTGGCTGGCTTAACTTAATAGAGGAAAATACACTCTAAATACCTACAATGAAAACGGCAAACAGAAACAAGTCTATCCACTCCACACACTGGAACTGCCTGTTTCAAAGTTGATCCTGGGTCCCCCGCCAAGTCTACAAGCTCCACCTCGAGGGCAGAATGGAATCTGTATTCACTGAGGGGTTTTTAACAGACAAAAATTATATAAGTGTATCCATGTATAATATAATGGTTTAAAATATGTATCCACTGGGGCATGGCTAAATCAAGCTAACATCTGCATCACCTCACATACTTATTTTTTGTGGTAAGAACACTTAAAATCTACTCTCTCAGTAATTTTCAGGAGTACAATACATTGTTATTAACTAGAGCCACAATGGTGTCCAGCAGATCTTTCTCAGAATCTAATAAAATGTTTGGCTAGTATTTATTATTATTTACGCAAGACCCAAAAAACAAACTATAAAAGCAACAGTCAACAAAGAGATAATATGGGCATAATACAATGCTATATTAGTTTCCATGTACTGCCATAACAAATTACCAAAAAATTCAGTGTCTTAAAACAACACAGGGTTATTGTCTTATGGATGGTTCTGTAGGTCAGAAATTCAAATATTAGTCTCAATGGACTAAAATTAAGATATCAGCAGGAGGCCAGGTGCAGTGGCACAGGCCTGGAATCCCAGCACTTTAGGAAGCCAAGGCAGGAGGATCACTTGAGCTCAGGAGTTTGAGACCAGCCTGGGCAACACAGTGAGACTTCACCTCTACTGAAAATAAAAAATAAATACAAAGATGTCAGCAGGGCTGAGTTCCTCTCTGGAGGCTCTGGGGGAGACTGTTTCCTTGCTTTTTCCACCTTCCAGAAGACAGTCACCTTCCTTGGTTCCTGGCCCCTCCCTCCATCTTCAAAGTCAGAAGCAAAACTGGTCAAGTCCTTCTTACAGTGCATGTCTCTTGGCCTGCTTCCATCATCACGTCTCTCTCCGACCCAGCTAAAAAAGCTTCTCCTCTTTTAAGGACTCCTGTGATTAGCTTGGACCTAACCAGATAATGCAAGGTAATCTCCTCATTCCAAGGTCCTTAACCTCAATCACTTTTTCAAAGTTCTTTTGATGTGTAAGGTGACAGATTCACAGATTCCAGGGATTAGGACCTGGACATCGTTTGGGAATCTCATCAATGGGACTGGCCTTACAGTCCAGAACCATGGGGCTGTATCAGGTGAATGTCCTCATTGCCTCTTGGAAGGTTCCTGTTCCCCTGTAGCAAGTTCAGTGTCAGTCATGCTGAGGTTGGGAGGGAAATTCCACCACAGCTAAATCATAAAATATCACCTCAGGGTAAGCCCCCAAATACTCCCCTCATAACAAGGCCTAATCTGGCTTCAATCATAATCACCTGACTTATCTCTGTATCCAGATGTGTCGAGCTAACCCATTTTTTTCAAAGAGGTAAAAAAAACTAATCATGTAGAACAGTACACCTGCTAAAATACACGGAAAATGAAAAAAATAAATGTAAATTACCTCTCAGAAGAAATCCTTTCGATTCATGCTTCACTGGAATGGTGTCTTTCCACCGCTAAAGGTCATTTATCAATTATCAATCTAATTTTTGTTATAAACGTTTTCTTTTCAGTTTGGTGGTAGTTATTTGTCTCACTTCTGCCCTTGGCTTTTCTCTTATCTCACCATTCAGAATGAGCTGGTGGGCTTTTTTTGCTCTGTCTTTCATCATTATTGGAGAATTTTACTCTCAATCCCAACATTCCTGGGAGTGAATTTGTCATCCCTCACAACCTGGTCTTCTTGGCTTCTGTATCTCCACAGCTCCTGCTGCTGTAGGATTGTATTCAGACAAGCCCTGGTTGGCTGAGTTACTGTTACTGTCCCAACATCATGACACCTGTAGTCAAGAGAGGACCCAAGACATTTATTAACATGCATTTCTAAGAAATAACAGCAGAGTGTTTTTCAAATGACTATAAGCTTTACTTGAGAATTGATTGTTATTCCAAACTAAGAGGTTCTTTCTTTGATTCTCCAAGGTTTAAGACATTAGAGCTCAGAATAGATTGCTCCGTAACACATTATTCTTATCCAGGCTATGCTGCTGCTCAACCTTCTGTGAAACTCAGCCTTGAGCAGCTGTAAACAATTAAGGGGACATTTCCAGGGAGAAGGAGGATGTGTAATTCCAGAATAAAACTGAAATCACTGTACTTGTTATTCTAATTTTCCCAGGTAACAGGTATTATGAAATGCTGCTAGATGGGCATTTTCATTTCCCAGCATTGAGAAACATTCAAGATATGGGGCAAATCCTACTACTAGGAAGTATATTAACAAAGTTTTATTAAGATGTTTAATTAAAATTCCAAGTTATCACCTAAGTCAGAGATTAAGTGACAGTCTACACATGGATGCTAAAATTTCCTGGGTAACCTTAGTGTTACAACTAGTGACTCATTCTTCTTTTCCCTGACAGACACACAAGATCAGGGTCCTCTCAGCTTTCCCGAGACATTGCTGCAAATTATGTATTTGGTCCTCCTCCACACTCAGCCACGCCGTCACTGGGTAGCTGGCCCACTCTTTCCATAGCACACCCTCTGGCACTGAATCTACTAGACCTTGGAGGTGGCTGGTAAACTAACTGCAAACTAACTTTCGTCTCCACTAACTGTGGCTCTGGCTTCAAGTGCATAGGTTCTGATCTTTTCCTTCCCCAGATACTAGAAGGGCATGGGTCACCTACTGATTCTTGCTTACCATGCTTCCTCTCCACTGGAGGCCTCGTCACCTACATTCCCTTCATTGTAACCGTAAGAAGCGTAACTTATTCATAATTTCTTTCACTGATGGTCACAGTTTTGTTTCTCCTCCTCCACCATCCCACCCAAAAATGTGTAGTTCTATGCTTTCATCAGTGACTTGATATCCTGTTTCAATATTTTTTCTCTGATCCACAGTCTCCTTTTCCTGTTACATCTCCTACATTCATAGCTGTGAGCTAACACAGGTATTACGGTAGCATTACAAAGGAAATGATGATAGGCACAAATCCGTGCTGAAAAATAGAATGTTTTAACTGCTATAATTGCTGCTGGTTGTGGAGAAGGGTAAGCACCCAGAAGGCTATTTACCTGTACTTCTAAGCAGCAACTAGAGTATCTCTAGGGTCAGCCAATGTCTTATCTTACTCTTAATTGGCTTTCGATAACAAAACAACATTTCAAATAGTGAATAAGGCAGTTCCTTTCTAGGTCCACTGAAATATGGATCTAAAAAGCTATAAGGCTTATTGATTAATCACAATTATCTCCACCTTTTCTATTCATTCAGGGATTCCTTGTTTGAAGCCTTTAGCATGTGTCATAAAACCAAAGCAAATTTAAAAATAAAAGCACATTGTTCATTACTACAAAATTTCTAGGAAATCCATGCTTGATAAGCTATCGTACTTACCACTGTGCCTAAAACGGAGTGAGCTCTCAATAAATGACTACTGAATGGATGGATGAGATAATGAGTCAATGTGGGAAGAAGGTAATAAATTTATTTCCATATACTGCACATGAAAGTTCATCCATTACTTCAAAGTCAGTACATATATGCTGCTTCTTGAATGAGTGCCCAGTATTTTGAAAAGAAGTAGATAATGGAAGCAGATCAAGGTAACACACAGCAGTGATGACACATCTCCACGCCATTTGGCTCCATCTTTCTTCTGCCTGTTACAGCTCCCAATCTTCCTGTCAGAACTCATTCTGTCTTCCTTAGTGAAACTATTATTCATAGTCAAGGTATCTGCAAGAAAAAACAAACAGAAATTAATGTTTTGCATTCATTCCTCTTGGAGACAGCTCACAAGTCAGTCTTTCTAGTTTCGCCTTTGCAAACTCTGTACAATCAGCACCTCTCCCACCCTGCCTTAGAAAAACTTTTCCCATTCTGACTTGGAGAAATATATATCTCAATGGTGAATGGAACACCAACGGGCAAAACAAATACAGCTCTGATTCGGTATGGGGTGACATTGTACTTTTTTTAGCTTCCTAAATTCTCTCAACTGCAGAGAAGCAGCAGCACCAAAGCTGAGATTCACAAACTTGAAATTCTCTCTCTTAGCTCAGGAATTGACCCTGCTCTAGAGAGGAAAGTCCAGAAGCTTTGGTCAATTCATCGTCCTTCTCATGCTTGGGAGAATGGGGGAATCCATTTGGCATAGACATTCAGGGACTTGAACTTTCTCTGTGGAAATGTGGCGGGTACCGTTTGGACCAGAATCCCAGGTTCAAACAAGTAATTCTTACTTTTAGATTCAAAATCTTTCTGTTTGTAAGAGCAAGAAGAAATTATGGGAATGAGTGACAATATCACATTATATGACTCCCCTCGTTACTTGAAACTGTGTCTGGGATAGACCTAGATTTAGATTTTAGATGCCTGCAGTAGCTTATGGGGCCCAGTTTTGATAACACTGATTCCACAACACTTACTCCTTCAGCAGGCCTCATAAGGATAAGGCCACCTGCTTGCTTCTTTCTCAATGTGCAACAAAAATGCCCCTGTCCTGTCCTCCACCTAAACTATGTACTGTAATAATATAAGAAAGATACACAAATATCTCCTCTAAAAGGTTAGATGAGGCCGGGCATGGTGGTTCATGCCTATAATCTCAGCACTTTGGGAGGCCAAGGCGGGCAGATCACAAGTTCAGGAGATTGAGACCATCCTGCTAACACGGTGAAACCCCATCTCTACTAAAAATACAAAAAATTACCCAGGTGTGGTGGCACAGGCCTGTAGTCCCAGCTACTAGGAAGATTGAGGCAAGAGAATCACTTGAACCCGGGAGGCAAAGATTGCAGTGAGCCAAGATCGCACTACTGCATTCTAGCCTGGGTGACAGGGCAAGACTCTGTCTCAAAAAA